TCACCGATGCTGAGAATTGAGACAGGGTTAGAAGTTAGGGAGAGAAAGTTAGAGGACAACATGAATCACTTTGGGAGTGAGTGCTATGAAAAAAATGACAAAAAGTGGTTCTATTTATTTATTTATTTATTTATTTATTTGGTTTTTCAAGACAGGGCTGGCTGTCCTGGCACTCGCTCTGTAGACCAGGCTGGCCTTGAACTCACAGAGATCCGCCTGCCTCTGCCTCCCGAGTGCTGGGACTAAAGGTGTGTGCCACAGGGGCTCCCTGAAAGGATTTTATTTATTTATTTATTTATTTATTTATTTATTTATTATGTATACAGTTTTCTATCTGCGTGCCAGCAGAGGGCACCAGATCTCAGTCAAGGTGGTTGTGAGCCACCATGTGGTTGCCTGGAATTGAACTCAGGTCCTCTGGAAGAACAGTCAGTGCTCTTAACCGCTGAGCCATCTCTCCAGCCCTGAAAGCATTTTTGTTTTTAAACTGTTGTTTCGAGATAGGGTCCTGCGGTGTAGCTCACCTGCCTCAGCCTTCTGAACCCTAGGATTGTAGACAGGTGTCATCATGTATACCACAGGAGGTTCTGAGAGCATGAAGCCTGCGGCCTCACCAGGCTTTGGATGGACAAAGAGGACTTCCTAAACGAGAGACACTTGAGCTCCCATCCAAAGCGGAGGACACGGGCCAACAGGCAAACCCAAACCCAGGAGTGTTTGTAGGTAGAGGACAGGGCTTGCGCAAAGGTCTGCCAGGGAGTTGAGCCTGAGGTCAGGACAGAGAGCTGAGGCTTCTCAGTAAGGCACGGAGGGTGTGACAGGAAGGGAATTCACATTAGTCACCGGCAAATGACTTACTGGCTAAGCCCAGGTTTAGACCTGGGTCACCACCTCCTGTTTGGCTCATGTTATATCTTGCCTCCCACACACAGGCTTGAGAAACCATTGCCTGGCTTTGCCTGGCTTGGTCCCAACAAGCCCTCAGGTGACGTCAGGAGCAACTATAATTTTTGTCTGCTGTGCCCTTGTTATTTGAGTGATTATCGTATTAATTAAATTATTGGAGATGCTTTGCGCAAGGGTGACAGTGAAAGGAACAGGGAAGGCAGACTGGTTGTCCGAGCTTAACCTCAGTTTACTTATATGTGGAATGGGTATTATAAACAGCACCTATTCCACAGGGCTGCCACGAAGACACGCAAGCTGGTATGTGCAAAGTACTCAGGAACTGGCAATTATCTGTCTATGTTATTTAAGGATGAGCAAGAGGAAATGAGCTAAGAGTTCCAAGTGGGCTCCAAGTTGAGGGAACAGTATGGTGACATGGGGACTAGCATAAGGGCTGCCATTTCCTATGTATTTAGTCACTTAATTTTTTAAAGATTTATTTATTAATTATGTATATAGAATTCTGCATCTACTCCCAAAAAAAAAAAAAAAAAAAAAAAAAAAAAAAAAAAAAATAGAATTCTGCACCTATGTATACCTACACACCAGAAGAGGGCACCAGATCTCATAAGGGATGGTTGTGAGCCACCATGTGGTTGCTGGGACTTGAACTCAGGACCTCTGGAAGAGCAGTCAATGCTCTTAACCTCTGAGCCAGCTCTCCAGCCCTAGTCACTTAATTTTGATAGGGGCTTACCCAGGGGGAACCCAAGTCTAACTTTGCCACTCTTCCCATTTTTTTTTTCAAGGTAGGGTTTCTCTGTGTAGCCCTGGCTGTCCTGGAACTCGCTCTGGAGACCAGGCTGGCCTTGAATTCAGAGATCCGCCTGCCTCTGCCTCCCCAGTGCTGGGATTAAAGGTGTGCACCACCACCAGGCTATTTTTCTCCCCTTATGAGACAGGATCCTATATGGCCCAAGCTGGCCACAAACTTGGTATGTACTGAGAATGGCCTCCTGTCCCCACCTCCCAAGTGCTGTTGTTACAGGTATGTGCCATGATCTCTGGCTATGTTCCCATTTTACAGATGAAATCATTGCTCACAGACAGGTCACTGTTTTAAGGATGAGGAATGAAGATTCAAACTGAGGTTTATATAGTCCCCCCAGGAGTGGCCAGGGGCCAGACCGACAGACTTAGATGCCAAAAAGGGACCCGGGATGGAGGTACAAACCGATGGCCACCTAAAGATTCCCTGCAGTGTGTTTTCGCTAGTGAATACCTGTAATCCTAGCATCTGGGAAGCAGAGGCAGGAGGATTGCTTCAAGTTCGGGGTCAAACAGGGCGTTAGGGTGAGTTCAAGGTCAGTTTGGGACACATCACAAACTTGCCTCAACGTGCAGAACGAACGAACGAATGAATGAATGAATGACAATAAAGATCGAAGTCCCTTTTGGAGCAGGCGGGTGGAGGACCTGAACCAAAACTCTAGTCCCCTCGGGGTTCCAGCCCCTGGTTGTTGGAATGGTTTGCTAGTACTCGTAGGAGTGAAATCTGGACCGCGATGAACTTCGGGCAGCAGTTTGTTCGGGG